ACAGGTGAGACAGATGGGTCTCTGAGGTCCATGTGGGGCCCAGGGGCGTAATGCGAGGGATTCCTGTAAGTTAGTGGGCAGCAAATCAGGACAAACAGGAGGCATATTTCACATGATTCCTGGGAAAGAGACCCTGCAGGGGACACAGTGGACAGGGCCCAGGGCACTCAGAGCAGCAGGTGGGTCGTGAGTCAGGAGGGGCGCCCTAGCGCCCTGGGTCTTGGTCACTTGGTGGCCTCCCTGCCCATGTCATGACCAGGCGCCTCCCTCTGAGTCCTCAGGTGAGAGGAGGACGTGAATATGGGGTGAGGACCCTTAGTGGGACAGAGATCTGGTTTTTCTGTTTCGGGAGGAATCAGGGTCACTCTCTGTCCCACCCTGCACCCCCACATGCCCACAATGTTCCTTCTCTCCCCAGCTTGTGGAAAAGCGTCTGCAGACCCCGCAGGACAAGGAGGTCATGAAGGCTCGTCCCCAACACCAGGTGTCCCTAAAGGACTCGAGTCCAGCTGAGAGTGCAGCAGGCTACTGCACCCCAACACCTACCTGGGGCCACAGGCCAGGGGCCAGCGCTGAATCTGAGACTGACTCTGGACACGCCTCACGGCCTGGGCGGGCCGAGGCCACTGGGATGGCACCTGGAGCCTCTGTCCTCTCTCTGGGGAGCCTGGAGTCTCCACCACTGCAGGCAGGACCGGCCCCCTGTCCCAGCCTCACTGCACCCACTCTGGACAGCAGGGCTCCCCGCATGCTGGGCGAGGCCCTTCCTGGCCAGGGGTCTCCTGGGCGAGCAGAGGGCTCTAGTAAGGAGGAAGAGGACCTGACCAGCCTGTCCTTCCTCCTAACCTCTCACTACAGCCTGCTGCCCTGGGGCTTACCCAGGAGCCCTGGCCCTGACACTGGTCCCGACACTGGCCCCCACCTGCCTGGAGGTCAGGGGAATCCCGAGCTCCCATCCACTCGCACAAGGGCCTTCAAGTCTAAGGCCCCTACCAGGAAGAATCCTCTGTGTGGGGGCCCAAGGCGGCGCACTGCTAAGAAGACCCCCTGTCCCAGGGGGCACCCCACGGTGTCTACTGGCTCAGCCTTGACTGTGGAGCTGGAGGGCCCCTCCCTGCCCCCCAAGAGAAAGTGCCAGCCTGCCATGGCCCAGAGGAGGGGGAAGGGGCACAAGAGACAGTAGGATATCGGGGGGCTCCTCCTGACCACCTCCCAGGGTCTGGCTGCACCCAGAAGCCTTGTGCTCCCCATGATCTTCAGCTAAGCCTGCTCTGGAATGGCAGGGGTTGTACCTAGAATGGGGGTTTAACTGGAGCAGCCTCTTTGTGTCATTGTGTAAATAGTGAATAAAGTTCAGTTCATTGGAAACATCTCAGTGTCTGTCCTCTCACTTGTGCTCCTTGGGAGGCCTGAGAGCACAAAGGGTGAGGGGAATCACAGGGGAGGGGGGAACCCTGAGAGTACTGTGCTCCCTGGAGAGTGGAGGAGTCCTTCCCATCTGGAGGAAGATGTGCTCAGTCACCTGTAGGCCCACACCATCCTGAGGGCATAGACAAGGCTCTCATCTTGCTGCATTAGCCTGGATCAAATAAAAAATTAAAGCTCATTGGGTATTTGCATATCATATTCTTCACTCACATAAAATGTACCATGCTTTGATTTGACATCATTGAATTTAAATGTTTTTGTAACCAGACATATTTGAACATTTGCCATCACTCTTTAAAAAATAAGAGGGAGGGATAGTATAGCAGATATGTCGCCTGCCTTGCCCATAGCCAATCCATGCACTCAATTCCCAGCACCCCATATAGCCCCCACACTGTGATAAATGAGTCTGTTCCGAGATCCAGGAGTAAGATGTGAGTATACCAGGTGTACCCCCAAAACCAAATAATCATATAATAATAATAAAGGGGGCCGATTTAATGTACTGATTTCATTGTTAAGTGTTTTACCATTTAAATATGGTCCTGGTACCTGTAGAGAAGGTGTTTGAGAACCATTCTTCATTTTCAGTGACAAGATATTTGAAACTCAGGACCTTAGAGATTCTCAGGGAATTAGACTACTAGTTTTTAAAAACTAGTTACAACTCTAATTATTGAGAAACAGTAGGAAAACAACTCTTCAGTGTTAAACATTTTAATTCTCTGCACTTATCACTATTAACGGGCTGGAGCAATAGCACAGTGGGTAAGGCGTTTACCTTGTAGGCGGCCAACATGGCTGACCTGGGTTCGATTCCTCCGCCCCTCTCGGAGAACCCAGCAAGCTACCAAGAGAATCTCGCCCACTGGGCAAAGCCTAGTAAGCTCCCCATGACGTATTCAATATGCCGAAAACAGTAACAACAAGTCTCACAATTTGTTGTGAGACATTACTGGTGCCCGCTTGAGGGAATCGATGAACAACGGGAGGACAGTGCTACTATTAATGAGGGCTGGAGCAATAGCACAGCGGGTAGGGTGTTTGCCTTGCATACAGCTGACCCAAGTTCGGTTCCTCCGCCCCTAGTAGAGCCCGGCAAGCTACCGAGAGTATTTCGCCCACATGGCAGAGCCTGGCAAGCTCCCCGTGGCATATTCGATATGCCAAACACAGTAACAACAAGTCTCACATTTGTTGTGAGACATTACTGGTGCCTGCTCAAACAAATCGATGAACAACGGGAGGACAGTGCTACGGTGCTATTACTAATGAAAAGTTAAGCATAAAATGTGTTTCTTAAAATATTTAGTGAATTTGAATTCACGTAAAATTACATTGCAGAGAGGGAAGGGACGAACTAGAAATTACAAAAAGGCAGTGGCAGAGGTGTTTGGACACGTTAGTGGGGATGAAAGTGAATAACATGTACCCCCCAAACAGAATTATTAAAACAATTTGGGGGCAGTTGGGTCACACCCAGAAGTGCTCAGGCTCCTCATGGCTCTGTACTGAGGAGTCACTCTTTGTTTCTGTTTGTTTATTTGTTTTCTGTTTGAAGGAGAGGAAGCTTTTTGGGTCTCACACGGCCACGCACAGGGGTTACTCCTGGCTCTGCACTCAGGAATCACCCCTGGCGGTGCTCAGGTGACCATATGAAATTCTGGGAATCGAACCCGGGTTGGCAAACGCCCTACCCGCTGTGCTATTGCTCCAGCCCCGCTGAGGAGTCACTCTTGACTGCTCCAGTGAACATATGCTGTCCCGGGGACCAAACTTGTGAGCTTACCCTGCACTGCTGCTAAACCCTGGCAGACGTCTGGGGCTTCCTGGGGCCTTATTGCCTCAGAAGGTGCCCGTCTGCTGGCCCATACAGGACTGCCCCTCTGCGGGTGCTGCGCCTGGGCAGAGGCCGGGGCACCTCGGCTGTGCTCCCCTGGAAGGCTATGTTGGCTGCTGGGCCTGCAGGAGGACAGGACACCCCCCTGAAAGTGGTGCTGGGCTGGGCGTGTGTCTGGCAGCACATGGCCTTTGCGCCCCTCAGTACACATGTGCAGCCATTGGGCTGGTTTCAGGGTCTCTCTTGGGGTTGGTGGGGGGGTCTTCCCAAGGAACGCTCAGGAGGTCTGGGGGCACCATGAGGGATTCTTTATATTTTTAAAACATTCGGTACCATGATTTCTAATGCTACTGCGATAGGGTTTCATGGACAGAGTGTCTCTCCACCACACCAGCACCAGAGTGCCCACCGCCCTCTGCTACAGTGATGGAGGTCCATGAACACAGTGTCCTACACACCAGCACCAGAGCACCCACTGCCCACTACCCACTGCTACAGTGATAGGGGACCATGGACACAGTGTCCTACACACCAGCACAAGAGCGCCTGTCTATCTGTCTGTCTGTCTGTCTCCCCCCCACCCCCTCTCACTTCCCTTTTAGGCAGTGTGGTTTGCAATACTGTTACTGAAAGGGTATCATGAGTATCCCTTTACCTCCTTTCAGCACTGCCCACTGCTACAGTGGTAGGGGTCCATGGACACAGTGTCCCTTCACCACACTAGCACCAGAGTGCCCACTGCCCTCCCCAGCCATGGCTCCAGTCCCCTCTCCCCCAGACCATCTTCCCCTGCCACCCAGGAAACTCCACTCTCTAAACTCTTCCTTAGTTTTTATTGTCTCTGGCATTTATTATTTCCTTATTACAACTCTTTATATGCCACATCTGAGGGATAGATCTATGCACACCTATGTAAACTTCATCACTGGCATTTCTTGGCCAATTCAATGGCAATTCAGTGCCAGGGTGCCTCCAGGGCTGCACCCAATGATGCATGCTGAACATGCCCCCAAACAGCTCTAAGAGCTCCCAGACCCATGGAGGTCAGTTCTTTCAAAGGGGTGATTAACAGGAAAGAGATCACTGATAAATACCCAAACCCAACAGGACTGGTGTCCTGATGAGAAGAGACATGGACTCACACAGAGGCACCCACACATGAAGTGGAGAGGCTTCGGGTGCGATCAGCCCTGCTGCCTCTGCATCTCAGACCTCCAGGTTCCAGAGATGTTTTCATCATTTGCGTTATGGGCCTGTCCTATTGTTTCTGAGGGATGGTAGAGATTGATCATCATCTGGGAAGATATGCTCACCTTCGACACAGAGGAGAGTCTACCAACGTGGACACAGACAACTCTTTTAGCAGGTGCCAGTGGCCTCAGTGGCCTGCCCTCCTGCCAGTAAGCCTTCCTGCCAGACTTCTTTCCTTGACCAGGGGTTCAGATGACCAGTCCACAGGAAGGGACACGCACCAATTTCAGAGCAAGGTGAGCCTTTATTTGGTTTTGCTTTGCTTTTCCAGTCTTGGGTTTGCGATCATAACAGATGGACGGAACCACAGAGATGGTGGCACGTGTGAGGCTCCAGTAAGAATGCTGAGGACTGGGGCAAAGAGCAGGGACAGAATGTTCTTCGGTCACTGCAGGTCCTGCCACAGGGCCTTAAGCACTAAAAGCAACAGGAGCCAGTGCTGTAGAGGTCTGAGGGTTAATATCGATGAGCTGGAAACTGGCTAGGATTCATATAGAAATGGGACCTCAGGAGGAGCAGACAAGGAAACAGGAAGAGGCACAAGTCTCTGGATCTGGACGATCCACTTGATGAAATGGGCAACACTGGTGAAGACACTGAGGGATATGGGACGCTGGCAGTCCAGGCCCCAACTGGCCAACCCCAGAAGAACCCAACTCTTGGAGAAGTCAAAGACCCGAAGGCCTCCAGAATCACCCTAAAAAAAGAGAGGGCCATCAGTGTGGACAATTGAGGTGGGGCTCAGAATTCTAATTATAAGGGCAGGTTATTGGGCACGGCTGTTCGGGTGTTTTCAGTGGTCCCTTGGGATGATCCTGATGCCAGTGTCCTGATATAGTTCTAGAGTCAGGGGTCGGAACTACAATCCTGCACTAGGAAGCTCCAAATTGATCCTTGGGACAGTCACAGTTGGAAATCTATCAATCATGCAGTTAAACTTGGCCACTGGCCAAGGACCTTGTACTAACTCAGCATCAGAAGTGATGGTTAATGAATAAGGGCCGAGAGACTGAGCCTGTGAGAGGCACTGGGTGTCTGAAGCCACTATAGACCCTAGGCTTTTCAGAAAGCTGATTACAGCAATATGCACCACCTGGAATCCTTCCTCTCAGTCACTTCAGCCTATGGGTTTCTTAAAAAACGTTCAGACTCTTTGGAAAATGCTCCTACCTAGGTGTGGTGGAGAAACTCTATAATGCTGGGGCCTGAGGGGTGGGGGCCTCGTCACCACAAAGCATCCTGAAATAATCTCAGGGAAACCAGTGTGGCCAGAACCCCTCTTATTGCATCAAAGGGAAAGGTTCATCTAGGCAGGGGAGTTGGGGAGCAGGAACTATAGCTCTGAGGCTCCTCTAACCACACTGCAGACAAATGCTCCCTGAGTACCTTTGTGTGATTCCTAGTACTGGAGCTTTAAGGCACACAGGCACATACAGAGAAGACCAGAAACCTCTCTCAGATTGACATGTGCAATCAAATCTCATAAGAGATGGGAGCTGTCTAGAAGGGAGGGGCGTTGCTCATGGCTGGCGGCAGAAGGCTTTGCTGAGCTGGGATTCCAAGCAAGAAACTGAAAATGACCTTGTGATCCTGGAGTCAAGGGAGCAGAGGGTACAAAGAGGAGGGTCCCAGTGTGGTAGGAAAAGCAGAAGCATTGTGGGCAGCAAGGAAGGCAGTTAGGGATTATACTGGTCATCCAACCATGGAGAAGTAGATCTGCAGCGGGCGGGTCTTGAAGTACTATGACGAAAAGACAGCACTGACTGTGAATTCAACAGAGGGGCTACAAGAGAATGTCAGACATCACAGATGGGGGAAGAGTCCCAAATACCTGATATTTGGGAGAATATTTACAGAACGGCACTATGAGATCTGTGGGTTCTCACCATTCTCACCAGGGGAAGATAAAATCAGGTCCTGGGTTCTTGTGATCCAGTTGTTAGCAGGGAGGGAGCAGGAGAAGAGCAGAGAAGGCCAGTGGCCAATCCTATGACCAGGAAACAGGGCCAACAGCCCTCCCTTATATTGGCGAGAAGAGTTGGGGACTCTTGCAGCCTGGGCAAGATCACAGCTGCCAAGGAAACAGACCACAGAGTGATGGGGGCAGAATGGAGACACAACTGGGTGTGGGGATCGAAGAAACAAAGGGCGAGGAGGAGGAGGAGACTCGGAAAAGGTAGAGCGAGGGATGGTGGCAGCAGATCAGAAGCTAATGGTATCTTCAAAGATGTCACGCCACTGGCCAAGCAAGTGAAAACAGAGATAGACAAATGGGACGATCTTAAACTAAGAAGCTTCTTCACCTCAAAAGAAACAGTGACCAAAATACAAAGACAGTCTACAGAATGGGAAAGAATATTCGCCGAACACACATCTGACAAGGGGTTGATATCAAGGATATACAAAATACTGGTTGAACTCCACAAGAAGAAAACATCCAACCCCATCAAAAATGGGGCAATGAAAGGAACAAAAACTTTCTCAAAGAAAAAATCTGAATGGCTAAAAGGCACATGAGAAAATGCTCTACACCGTTAATCATCAGGGAGATGCAGATCAAAACAACAATGAGATATCATTTCACACCACAGAGACGGGCCCACATCCAAAAGAACAAAAGCAACCGGTGCTGGTGCGGATGTGGCGAGAAGGGGACCCTCCTTTACTGCTGGTTGGAATGCCGACTGGTTCAACCCTTTTGGAAAACAGTATGGATGATTCTCAAAAAATTAGAAATTGAGCTCCCATTTGACCCAGCTGTACCATTCCTGGGAATATGTCCCAGAGAGGCAAAAACGTATAGTCGAAGTGACATCTGCACTTGTTTGTTCATTGTAGCACTCTTTACAATAGCCAGAATCTGAAAAAAACCTGAGTGCCCGAGAACAGATGACTGGTTGAAGAACCTTTGGTACATTTACACAATGGAGTACTATGTAGCTGTTGGAAAAGATGAATCATGAAATTTACATACAAGTGGTAATACATGAAAAGTATCATTTTAAGCAAAATGAGTCAGAAAGAGAGGGATAGACACAGAAAGATTGCATTCATCTGGGGAACATAAAGTAACAAAATAGGAGACTAACACCCAAGAGTGGCCGAGATTAGTACCAGGAATTTTGCTCCATGACTTGGAGGCCAGTCACACGTGCTAGGGGAAAAGAAAGCTCAGATAGAGAAGGGAGCACCAAATAAAGGGTGTTAAGAGGATCCTCCCAGGATGTGAGAATCATGCTGAAAGTAGACTATAGACCAAACACAATTGCCACTCAATGCCTCTCTGGCAAACCACAGCACCCAAAAGGAGAGAGAGAACAAAAGGGAATGCCCTGCTACAGAGGCAGGGTGGGATGGAGGGGTCGGGGATGGGAGGGATACTGGGACCCGTGGTGGTGGAAAATGGGCACTGGTGGAGGGATGGGTTCTTGATCATTGTATAACTGAAACCCAAGCACAAAAATTTGTAAGTCTATAACTGTACTTCAAGGTGATTCACTAATAAAATAAATAAATAAATAAATAAAGGCCGTTAGGGGCTGGAAGGCATTTTTCTTTCACGCGGCTGACCCACATTCGATTCCCAGCATCCCATATGGTCCACCGAGCATCGCCAGGAATAATTCCTGAATGCAGAGCCAGGAGCAACCCCCTGAGCATTGCTGGGTGTGACCCAAAAAGAAAAGGAAAGTAAGAAAGAAAGAAAAAAAGACAGACAGATGAAAGAAAGAAAGAAAGAAAGAAAGAAAGAAAGAAAGAAAGAAAGAAGGAAAATTCAAAATAATGGTGGTGAGAAAGTGTATGGAGGTGGGACTGGTGTTGGAATATTTAATGTAATAAATTATTGTGAACAACTTTATAAAAATAAAAAAAATTTAAAAGGCAAATAAATATTTCCTTTTCCCTAATCAGTATGCCATCAACATTTCACTAAAGTATAAACATACTTCTCTGAACAAGTTCATGTTTATGCTCAATGTTTATATTTCTCATTTAACTAAAAACCTCCACAAAGTTTTGCCCTGTATTCACCCTATATCTCCATTCACCTAACAAATCCAAGAGGCAGATAGGAGACACAGGTTAGGAGAAGAACAAAACTTAGGTGATGGAGCTGAGATAATTTCAGGCCATGATCGTTCTTCCCCAAGGTTCTTCAAGAGCTTTTTTCTTACTTTTACGTGTTCCTTCTGGAGCGATAGCACAGTGGTAGAGCGTTTGCCTTGCATGCAGCCAACATGGCCGACCCGAGTTCGATTCCTCCACCCCTCTCGGAGAGCCCGGCAGGCTACCGAGATTATCTCACCCGCACGGCAGAGCCTGGCAAGCTCCCCGTGACGTATTCGATATGCCAAACACAGTAACAACAAAGTCTCCAATGGAGACGTTACTGGGCCCGCTCGAGCAAATCGACGAACAACGGGAGGGCCTTTACTTTACTTTACGTGTTCCTTCTATGGCCATGGAAAAATCAAGGCATTTCACAGTAGAAAGAGAAACACTCAGACAAATTCATTTCACAAAGTCATGTCTGATCTACATCAAATTGAAATATTAGAACCAAGGGGCTAGAAGATAACAGAAGTGTGAAATAGATGCTTCTCACAAAATCATTGCCAGTTATATCTCTGGCATGACATGTTCCCTGAGCATCAAGATAAAGCCTTACTGGCCCTTGAGCACAACCAGACGTGGCCCAGAGGTTTCCCCAGCATCAGTGGGGTGGCCTGCAGGATCTAACAACACTGCATCCTCGAACTGAGCGGGTAGGCCATACATCACTGAGAGGAGTTCTCAGGCCACCTAAACAGCATTTTTGAGAAACCCTAAATCAATTAATTTATCAGTTAAATTTGGACACCCAAACCAGAGAAACTTTGAGATCCAGATTCCTGACTCCAAAAACCAAAGGACCCCAGAATTTGAGTAACTTTGAAGCTTTCAGAAGAACACATTTTTCACAAGAGGAACTAGAAGAGTCCAGCTCTCTGGAAATGACGCACAGAGGGACAAGGTCCACTGGCCTCCATGCTAATTAGAGATTTTGATGAGCTAGAATCCCATTCCCCATCTCCCACCCACACCCACACCATAGCCACTCACTGTTCTCGGTGAGCTTTCCCCAGCCAGTTATCCAACAAGATGTGCCAAGGGGCAGCTCCATGCCAGGGGTTGGAAGGCAGACAGGAATGATATAGGAGCTGAAGTTCACAGGTTGGTGCAGTTGTAACACCGTTGCAAAATGGTGGAGCTTCTTAAAGTCTGGATGGATGATAATGCAGCTCACAGTCACCCTCCTGGCGTATTGGGTGTCCTGGTAGAGCTGCGTACTTCCCCCAAACACCCAGTAATCCGCAGGGGCATGAGACTTCCTACAAGAGGGAAGGTGACAGTCATTATCTTCTGCATATGGCAGCTTGCGCCTCTATACCATCATCTGACCCCCAGCACTGCCTTGTCTGCACCACCCCACACGACTCTCCCTTTCTGTCATCCCTTCTCTCTGGAGACCAGCGGCGGTTTTACTCACAACTCAGCACACACCCACTACTGGAGGAAGGGATCACAGAGGGCTGGAGGCCCCCATGAGGCTAGACAATCCTGACCTTCCTTGGGCACATGCAGAGAGCCCTGACTCCGTCTTGTCTCTTGACCCGCCTTATGACCAAACTGCTCTAGCACCACTTTCTCTCACTTCCTTCTTTTTTATTTTTTATTTTAATTTTTATTTGATTTTTGGGTCACACCCGGCAATGCACAGGGATTACCCCTGGCTCTGCACTCAGGAATTACTCCAGGCGGTGCTCAGGGGACCATATGGGATGTTGGGGATCGAACCCGGGTGGGCCACGTGTAAGGCAAACGCCCTACCCACTGTGCTATCGCTCCCGCCCCTCACTTCCTTCTTCGTACTCACCTGTTCTAAAACTGCACAAAATCATTGGTCAATGGGAGACCATGTGTGCAGGATGTCCTGTGTTCTGACCATGAGGGAGGAAACATCCCACCTTCCACTCCACCACCTGGAAATTCCTCCCCACACACAGCCGGTGACCAAACCCTTGCTTCCACCAGCTGACCTATACCCACAGGAGCCTACCCATCTGACTTCCACACTCCAATGGTGTCAGCCCTGCTCATCCACAGGGGGAACTTTGGCTCTGACTAAATGGAGACACAGTGAGGTGGGTCAAGCCAACCTAATCCATAGTGAGTCTCAAGTGGGACACAGCACAGAGCAGATGCTTGTGGTTCTCTATGTACCGAAGATCCAGCTCCTGGTTACTGCCCTTCCCAAACCTATAGGAACAGCCAACCAGACCCAGGACAGAGAGCAGCTCTGTTCTTCTTCAAGGTCACGGACTCCATATCTAGTGTCCATGCAGCTGGCCAATAGACATGTGCTGAGCAGAGACCCCAGGCCAGAGACATGCAGAACACCAGCATCTGCCCCTGCATCCCAGGTTCCAGCCTCTCTCCGCCAACCAGGATTGCAGGGACATTGAGGGAAGCCCTGGTGTGAGGTGACAAAGAGTCAGCTCTCATTGCACCTGGGAGGCAGGATGAACACTGCCATCTCGGGGGCATACCTGTGTCGGGGGAAGGCACAGGGATGAGGATGGAAGATGAGCAAAGTCAGGTGAGGAGTGAGGTCAATACAGGAGAGGACAGGTCACAGGCAGAAAGACTTGGACTAGAATGACACAGATTATCCCAGCACACAGCCTTGAGGATGCGGGGGCTCTAATCTTTTAACCCTCTCCCCTGCCAGCCCAGCTGCAAGGACCCAAGAAACAACTCACTTTGGAAAGCAGTGGGTGGTAGAGAACACCCAGTGGGAATCAATGAGCACAGCTCCACAGGGATGACTGCCCCGGTACTGCAGGCTGGCCAGCCATAGCCACTGGCCCTCCACGGCCTCCTGGCCACCAGTGATCATCCCTACGCCCCTGGTCTTCCCGCACACTGTGGAGACCAGCCCGACGCCGTGCGGGAAACAGGGAGGTCCCCGTTTCCTCTCCGGTAGACCCTTGACCTCTTCTCGGTGGGAAAGCCAGGAGCAGGGCTCAACCAGCCCCAGAGCCACAGGGCAGCTTGGGGTCTGATGTCCCTGCCCGCTGCCTGGGCAGCAGGAACCTGGACAGCAGAGCGCGCATGAGCAAGCCCCATGGGACGATGCGGAAGGGATGTGGTGGCCACAGCTGGTTCCAGCCGCATCCCGGCGACCCCATGCGCACGGCGCCCCCCACCCCACTCCCACCCCGGGCCCAGACACCAGCATTGTGTGCGGGGCTGTCCTAGTATCCCGCCTCCACCTCCCCGCTGTCTCGGGAGGGGCGGTGGTGGGCCGTGGGGCCTGGACAGGGCGGGCCGGGTGTCCCAACCGCGTGGACGCAGTGGCTGGCTGCCCGCACGAAGACTGGGGAACACCGCGAGGAACAAACAGGCTGGGCCAGTCCACTCCAGGCTGTCCCCTGCCCAAGGCCATCCGCTCACCTGTGCCCAGGGCGCCCCAGGCACCTCCTGGGCCCGGGGGCTTTGGGGGCGGGACTTCCTGCCAGGGGCTTCCCGGTTCCGTGCCCAGGGCCAGAGTGGCCCCGCCCCTCTGTCCTCTGACCCCACCCTGACACTGCCCCCTGACCCTAAGACATACATGACCTCTCTAATCCCATCCTCCTCCTTGGACACAGCTCTCTCCTGAGCCCTCCTTGACCTTGGACCTGCCCCTGCGCTGTCCCCGCGCTGGCCCCGCCCTGACCCCGCCCTAATCCCCTCGGACCCGAGCTCTCACACCCCACCTTGGTCCCACTCTGACCAGGTCAGGCCCTGGAGAGTTGGAGCAGGGTCCACGGAGCAGCTGAGTGCTTCTGCTCACTCAAGGGAGGGACCTCGGAACTCCAGGTGGCTTTTGGAAGAGATCTGGGCTGGAGAGGTCGAGCTCCGAGTTGAGTAGGGGCCTCAGGCGCAGCTGGAGTTGCGGGATGGATCCATCCTGATATGAGAACGTTGGAGCAGAACGGGAGACCCCAGGAGCGAGCCGAGAGGAGGGACCCAGGGAGGCAGGATTGTGCGGGGATGCTTCAACCCAGGAAGGGAAAGCCACACGGCTAGATAAGGGATACGCTTCTCAGCTTGTTACAGAGTTCAACTGAGATAGAATTCGTGTCATAAAATTCACCCATTAGAAGGGACAATTCCATAATTTTCAGTATCATTTAGAATTTTTCAGTAATGACTTTCATTGGAAATAATCTGAAAGATCCTTAGTGAGTGAATCATCAGGGAAAATAGTATAATCCGTTGTAACAAATACTAACATCCAGTATAATAAACATTGTTTCTATCAGAGGATGTCAAGTGGATTTTGCTCAGTCATTTAGTCAGTAGTCATTTCTATAACATTTCATTTTCATAGCATGTATAGTCCCGTTTGGAGAATATCAATCTCAATAAGACGAAGTTATAAAGATGAAAAACTGTGGCATGGTGATCACTTACCATGAAAACCATCTTACTCAAAATATGAGATTTAAATATTGATGTTCAGTTTATTCATTTTTAAGCTTATTAATCTGGTGTTTTCTATCATCGCTAAGAATTTTACTTTTGCACCTTTGTCAAAACCGATTTTGTTTTTCTGTTTATGTGTCTGGGATTGGCAGAAATTTCTTATAAATTGCTAAGTCTGGAAATTTGATTCTTCCTCCTGGTTTTCTTGGCTTACTGTAGTATTTTTTTCCTCCCCTTGTGAAATCTACAATAATATATATGCTGATTTGGAGAGTTTTCCAATTTGTTGTTGATTTTCTGTCGCAAAGCCTATTCCTTGTCGTGTGTGGTCATTGATGCTTCTGTTCTTTACTTCATGTCCTCCCTGTGTCCATCTGAGCTCTCAGCTCCCTGAGACCCATTATAACACTAGTGAACAAGAGACAAGAAAATGAAATTCACATTTTCCTCTGCTGTGAAATGTCTCTTCTGTCAGATGAATCTACAGGAGAGATCAGAGGCAGCTGATGTCAGAAAGACCCTGTCTTTCATCTTCTCTGCCGAAATCTATGTTAAAACGCAAAAAAGTGGGGCTGGAGCAATAGCACAGCAGGTAGGGCGTTTGCCTTACACGTGGCTGACCCGGGTTCGATTCCCAGCATTCCATATGATTCTCTGAGTCGCGCCAGGAGTAATTCCTGAGTGCATGAGCCAAGAGTAAACCCTGTGCATCGCTGGGTGTGACCCAAAAAGAAAAAAAGAAAAAAAAGAAAAAAGCAAAGAAGAGCCAGACATAGGTACAGAGGTAAAGGCTTGCATGTGACTAAATCGTGCTTTGATCCAGGAAACATTTATGGTCCTCTGAGCACTGCCAGGAATGATTTCTGAGCACAGAACCTAGAGTAGGCCCTGAGCACCACTGGGTGTGTTCCAAAAACCAAAAGGGAAGAGAGAAAATAACAAAAAAGTAAAGAGAGAATATCTCAGAAATCTACAGTCAAAGGCCCTTACTTTGTCATTTATGAGTTCCTAGAAAAAGAAGAATGCCTGAGTTAGAATTTCTTTGTGCCATCACACCTACCAGACACTGTAGGAATGAGATTCAAATAATTTGGGCTCTTATGTCATTTTAATTTTTGTTTATTTATAATAAAGTTCCTATCATTTCTGTCTGCTAATTTTTTCTTTATGTCTCCATTTTCTTCACATGTGAGCTCAAATTGATTATTTGAGACTTTCTTACTTTTTCTTTTTTTTTTTTCCCCTTTATTTTATTTTATTTTTTTTAAAGTTGTAGATTTACAATTTTTTGTGCTTTGGTTTCAATTATACAATGATCAGATACCCATCCCTCCACCAGTGCCCATTTTCCACCACCATGGATAATATCCCTCCCAGCCCCATCCCCCCATCCCCCCTGTCTCTGTGGCAGGGCAATCCCCTGTGTTCTCTCTCTCCTTTTGGGTGTTGTGGTCTGCAAAAGAGGCATTGAGTGGCAAACATGTTCAGTCCATAGTCTACTTTCGACATGCATCTCCCCTCCTGGGAGAATCCTCCAAACATCCTTTATTTGGTGCTCCCTTCTCTATCTGAACAGCCCTTTCCTCTAGGATACCCGGCTGGCCTCTAAGTTATGGAGTAATCCTCCTGGTGCTGATCTCAGCTATTCTTGGGTATTAATCTCATACTTTGTTACTTTATATCCCCCAGATGAATGCAATCTTTCTATGTCTATCCCTCTCTTTCTGACTCATTTCGCATAGCATGATACTTTCCATATTGTACCACTTGTATGTAAATTTCATGACTTCATCTTTTCTAAGAGCTACATAGTACTCCATTGTGTAGATGTACCAGAGTTTCTTTAACCAGTCATCTGTTCTTGGGCACTCAGGTTTCTTCCAGTTTCTGGCTATTGTAAAGAGTGCTGCAATGAACAAACAAGTGCAGATGTCACTTCGACTATACATTTTTGCCTCTCTGGGATATATTCCCAGGAGTGGTATTGCTGGGTCAAATGGGAGCTCAATTTCTAATTTTTTGAGAATCGTCCATACTGTTTTCCAGAAGGGCTGAACCAGTGGACATTCCCACCAACAGTGAAGGAGTGTCCCTTTCTCGCCACATCCACGCCAGCATCGGTTGCTTTTGTTCTTTTGAATGTGGGCCAGTCTCTGAGGTGTGAGATGGTATCTCATTGTGGTTTTGATCTGCATCTCCCTGATGATTAATGATGTAGAGCATTTTCTCATGTGCTTTTTTGCCATTCGGATTTCTTCTTTGAGAAAGTTTCTGTTCATTTCATTGCCCCATTTTTGGATGGGGTTGGATGTTTTCTTCTTGTGGAGTTTAACCAGTATTCTGTATATCCTGGATATCAACCCCTTGTTAGATGTGTATTCGGTGAATATCCTTTCCCATTCTGTAGACTGTCTTTGTATTTTGGTCACTGTTTCTTTGGAGGTGCAGAAGCTTCTTAGTTTAAGATAGTCCCATTTATCTATCTCTGTTTTCACTTGCTCGGCCAGTGGCGTGGCATCTTTGAAGATACCATTAGCTTCAATGTCATGGAGGGTTTTGCCAACTTTATCTTCAATGTACCTTATGGTTTCTGGTCTGATGTTGAGGTCTTTAATCCATTTTGATCTTACTTTTGTACATGGTGTTAGGCAGAGTTCTGAGCCTATTTTTTTGCATGTAGCCGTCCAGTGATGCCAACACAATTTATTAAAGAGGCTTTCCTTACTCCACTTCACATTACTTGCACCTTTATCAAAGATTAGATGAGCATATGATTGAGGAGAGATGTCAGTGTATTCAACCCTGTTCCATTGGTCTGCAGTTCTGCCTTTGTTCCAGTACCATGCTGTTTTAATTATTACTGCTTTGTAGTACAGTTTGAAGTTCGGGAGGTTGATTCCTCCCATTTTCTTTTTCCCAAGAATTGCTTTAGCTATTCGTGGGGGCTTATTGTTCCATATAAATTTCAAGAGTGTTTGCTCCATTTCTTTGAAGAATGTCATGGGTATCCTTATAGGGATTGCATTGAATTTATACAATGCTTTCGGTAGTATTGCCATTTTGACAATGTTAAGTCTCCCGACCCATGAGCAGGGGATATCTTTCCATTTCCTCATGTCCTCTTTTATTTCCTGAAGTAGCGTTTTGTAGTTTTCTTTGTACAGGTCCTTTACTTCCTTAGTTAAGCTGATTCCTAGGTACTTGATTTTCTGGGGCACAATTGTGAATGGGATTGTTTTTTTCATGTTGCTTTCTTCTCTCTCACTGTTTGCGTATAGGAAAGCCATGGACTTTTGGGTATTGATTTTATAACCTGCAACTTTACTATACGAGTCTATTGTTTCTAGGAGTTTTTTGGTGGAAGTTATTGGGTTCTCTAAGTAGAGTAGCATATCATCTGCGAATAGTGAGAGCTTGATTTCTTCCTTTCCTACCTGAATGCCCTTAATATCTTTTTCCTGCCTAATCACTATTGCAAGTACTTCCAGTACTATATTGAACAGCAGTGGAGAGAGTGGGCATCCC